GCGGGATCCCATCGGGCGCAATTCCAACACTGTGTCTCTGGTGTCCCCTGTAGGGCTATGGGTCAGTAAGGGACATCATGTCTCATAGTGGGGCTGACTATGTGGTCCTCTCTGTGGACTGGCTGCTCTAATCGGGAACATTGTCCTGGAGGCCTGGTGGGCCAGGATGTGCTCCACTCTCTCCTCCTCCCCCTTCATCTGCTCCCGTGTGCTACAATCAGATATGTCCCCCTCCCGGAGCTGCAGATTCAGTGCCATCCTTTGAAATAAACTCTTCTAGGGGGAGGGGGAGGTGTCCACTTAGTAGTTGGGATTGGGGCCGGCTCCCAAGACCTCTCCACTGGTTCCCTACTCCACGCCAGCATGTTGCATTCACATCTTGGAGCACTGGGCTGAAGTCTAGTGAGGGCAAACCCTTAATTAGTAAATGTTGACCTGGCTTTCTTAAAATTTATTTTTATTCCTTAGAAAAGTAGAGAAAAAGGATAAAAGATAGATCACCTAACTATCCCCCAGAAAATACCCAGTGACATTCGTCCTGTTTTAATAAAAGGAGTGTATACCAGAAATGAAATGTTCAATGTTTCTCTGCCATCATCTCACTTCCCCAAAGTAACTGCTATGCACACTTTCTTAGTTGACTCTCCACAAGAATGAAATGGGTGTAGGCAGATGGTGGTACACCCTTTTTGTTTGTACAGAGATCATACTAAACGCATAGCCCCACACTTTTCTTCTCACTGAATATCTTGGAGATCTTTTCATGTCAGCAACAGCCGATCTCTTTTCAGTAGGTACACAGTATTACATCTATAAATGCATATAATTAACCTGACCTTTATTGATGTACCTTTATGTTGTTTGAAATTTTGCGATTATAAGCAGTGTTTTAGTAAGCACTTTTAAGTGTGTGTGTATGCGTTTGTGCATGCTAAAAATGTGTACAAAATATCTGCTTTTAAAAATTAAACAATTTGACATGTATGATTCAATGGCATTGATTATGTTCATCATGTGCAACTACTATATTGCTATGCTTTTTCAAGTATAGTCATAGGGAACATTGCTAGCAATATAGTCCTTAGAGCAAAGTCTATGCATACTAGAAGATTTCTTTCCAAAGCACTGGACCTGTTTACAAAGCTATCAACAAAAGCTCTTTTCCCATACACTGTCAATACTTGATTTTATCTAACTTATTTTAGCAAAGGGCATGTAGCCTAGAATTTGATGAAGGCCTCTGCTAGATATGTTGGGAAATTTAAAAAAAACAAACCAGTAAATGGTTACAAATACGGTACTCTGTGTGTATCAGCCGTTGTTCTCAATACATATCTGAAGAGACTTCAAGAAGTTCATGGGAAAATACCATTATCTTTTGACTCCATTTCTCAACATACTTTGGAAGTCTCCTCATATTAACTCATTTAATCTTTGTAACAATGCCTAAAAGAAATAAGACAAGCTCGCTCCAAGAATCAACATGGTGTCAAATGAGCAGAGTGAAGATGCATCACTTGTGGGTTTGTATGTGGAAAGATTAGAGGCTAACAGTGCGATAAGTCATGCTGGTGGTATCGAGGTCCAAGGGTAACTCTTAGTTGAGGGGTTTGGAGCTGGCAGTGGAATTTAAAGGAAGAGTTGAAAACCAGGACCATCTCAGGGGGGGTTGGGGGGGGCGGGAGGAGAACTGATAAATCCCAGAGAAGAAGGAGGTAGAGTTAAAAAGCTCTACATTCAGAATTAGTGTGACTAAAAAGCGGGTACATGATTTATAGAAAGCAGAACAATGATCATTCTTGACTAACATTATTAGATAAAAACAAAGACTAGAATTTATAGAATCGTCACTAGCATACATATCTGCTTGATGCTATTGAACATGGGTCATCATGGATCTCTTTTTCATCTAATAGGATAAGGATAGTGGGAAAACCTCTGTGGTTGTGGGGACATGGGACCCAGAAGAGCACATTGAATGGGCTAAGAAGAATACTGCTAGAGCCTATCACCTTCAAGACGATGGTACCCAGACAGTCAGGTAAGACTCCTTTCCCTTGGGATCTGATGAGTAGAATTGAAAACTCAATATTGAAAAACATGAAAACTTAATCACAAGTAAAACCTCTGATCCAGGGACATCTTTTGGGTTAGTTTTATCTTCTTGGGGAGACAGCCCAGTGTCAGTTACGAGCACAGTCTGGAGTAGTTCACCTGCATCAGATGCTGGCTCTCACCACTGAAGGCAAGTCACGTCATCTTTCCACAGCTGCAGCGTTCTTGTCTAACTTGTTTGTTGCCTCAGGGGGTTGTTGTGGCATTTGAATGAGGTGAAACAGTACTGAGGAGAGCAGGCAGCATGTGCTGCCCCTGCCTCTGACTGATGCTGGCACATGAGTGGTGGTCACAGTCGCCAAGCTTAGTTCCAGATATCAGATGAGAGGTGCCTATTAATTATTGCTTCATTCATGTGTGATCTGTACGTCTTCAAGAGGTATCTCATTCTATTTCAGTCTACACTTAGCATTTCCTTTTTAATTTAACGTTTGTTAAAGCTAACGGTTGGGAATTTCAAATATTGCAATGGATTTTCAAAAAATTACCTCACATATCTCTTTTGACCTATATTAGAGGGGGCTTCAAAAAGTTTGTGGAAGAATCCTATTATCTTGTATTTCTGTTTTGTTTCTAATGAACTTCCTGAAGCCCCCTTAAAAATATATTTCACTGTAGTTAGTTTTCTTAGGTAAATTATTTTCATTTCCCAAGAATAGCTGAGTTCCAGCTTTTCCTGCCCAATAGAATTTAAATTACCCATGCTTCTTCATAATCAGTCGGTCTGTTTGTCCTTCTTCACACAGATGGAATAGAAAGACTGATTTCAGAATATTCCGGCTTTTCTTGCTAAGCAAAATCAGAGATAGACATTTTAAGTTGTTACACTAACAAAATGTGTGGTGGTCATTTTTAATGTTTGTATTTGTTTCATGTGAAAACAACTAAATGTGCATGTGTCAATGGCTATTGAAGCACACGTGTGTGAAGCTAGTAAAATTAATGCTTTTGTTTGAATCCTGATTTGAAATTCATAGTGCACACCCTAAGCTTTACCTTACTACATTATTTTCATGGGAGTAGGGAGATGAGGATTGGAAAGAAAGAATAACTTGTTCACAAATAAAGGTTCAGGAGCTTGGGAAGTAGTTAACTTTTAAAGGAACAACTTTTTAAAAGAAATCTACAAATAACTTTTTGTACATCCATAAATATATAAGTTCAAGGTCATTAGTTAAACCAGTAGGAATCGTGTACTTTATATTCTTTTTATGAAATTTAAGTTTTTGCCACTTAGCCCTAGAAATAGCAATTTTAAAGAATATTTTACTGATGCAAAACTGAATCCTCCTTCTTCTACCCTGTCCATTAAAATTATTCTAAATCTGTAAGGTCTTGGTTTAATGAAGCATGTATATTTCTCTAATTCAGGATGGTGTCACATTTTTATGGGAATGGAGATATTTGTGATATAACTGACAAACCAAGACAGGTGACTGTAAAACTAAAGTAAGTTGGACTCTAATCATTCTTCATGCTTTTCTCTTTCACCAGCTTTCTGTGAACAAAAGTTTTATATCAAATATAACTCTAATTATTAAATTTTACAGAGCTCACTTGCACGGTATTTTTGTTAAGCTTAGGAAAAAGCTATTTAAAATAATCTGACATTGTATGAGTTAGGCACTGCCTTAAAGTACTCTCTATTTTAGGTGTAAAGAATCAGACTCTCCTCATGCTGTTACTGTATATATGCTAGAGCCTCATTCCTGTCAGTATATTCTTGGGGTAAGTGAAAAAGTAATTGAGAATTCAGTTTGGGGCCATGTTTTATTTATTTACTTACTTACTTACTGAGCTTACAAGGAATCTTCAAAAGTGTCTTATAGCCCATATGACTCAGCAGTTTTGCTCCTGAGTATGTACCCAAACGATTTGAATACAGGAACCTACCAGGTACTTCTACCCATTGCTCAAGGCAACATTAATCACCATAGCCAAAGGTGGAAACAACACAAGTATCCACCAACAGATAAATGGATAAACAAAGAGGAGTATAATCATTCAGTGGAGTGCCATTCAGCAACAAGTGAATTCTTATACATCCTTCCAACATGAATAAACTTTGAAACTGTTATGCTGATTGGCGTGGGTTAGACACCAAACTGAAGAAATATCTACAACGGTATGTTCCAGAGTGAGGTGCTGATCCCTGGGGGCACTGGAGACAGTGATCCTGGAGACCTGAAAAGACATGTAGACACCCACACTTTATCCAAGACAAAGGATGACGGGACATGGTCCTACATACTATGGATGAGTTGTCAAGAGAGACCAGTCCCTGGAGAAGGACATAATGTTTGGTAAAGTGAAGGGGCAGTGAGAAGGAGATGGATTGACAGAGTGTGTGCAACAGGGAGGCAGGCACAGGAAGAGTTGCGAAGATGATGCAGGACCACGCAGTGTTTCATTGTGTTGTGCATAAGGTCACTGTGTGTTAGAACCAACTGGATGGCACCTAACAACAGCGACACAAATTATCCTGAATGATAGACTACAGTACAGACATTTTTAATTCCCAAGGTGGCACTGAGTAATTTCTTTCCTAAAAGGGGACGGTAGGTCAAAGAAATTTAGGAACCTTAGGAATAAGAAAATGTTTATTAATGATTACCAGTACATTTGGAGAAGGAAGAGAAGAAACAGTATTCACAAACATATTTAACAAGTTAGCTAACAAAATAGTATGGAAAGTAAAGGACATTTATTTATTTATACATGTTTGTTAGTGCTGCATATACAAGGTGGCTTCAAAAAAAGTTTTTAGAAAAATGGTATTAAAAGATAATGGATTTTCCCCCACAATATGTTGCAGCCCCTTCATATATTCATTCATATGTTTAAAAAAAAACCAAACGCATATGGGGCAGTTATGAAAACTTCATACCCAGATACCTCCTTGGACTGGTAACTGGGCTTTAAGACGAAGGGCCATGGTCTTGGGAACATCTAGGCCAGCTGGCCTAAGAGAGTCCATACCGTTAATGTTCTCTATCCTAATTTCGTGAACAGTATCTAGGGTCTTAACAACAAGAATAGTCATCTGAGATACAGTGATTGTTCTCTTCCCATTTGGAGCGAAAGAGAGTGAAGGAAGCCAAAGACTCAAGGAAGCAATTCCTCCACATGAAGGACACCTTCCTATAGCCTGAGCCAGGACAGAATAGATGGTGCCACCACTAATGACTGCTCTGACAGGAGACACAAGAGAAGGTCCCAGTTGGAAAAGGAGGAAAATTCTAACTCAAATTCATAAGAAAGACCAGAATCACAAGCCTGATAGAGACTGGGAGAATCCCGAGACTGTTGCCCTCAGACACTGACAGAGTCCTGACACAAAGCAAGTTGTATATAAATCGTTGCATGGGAAAGTACTTCACTGTGTACAAAACACAAAATGTTTTTTCAGAAACATGTTAAGTAATACCATCTAGGAAACGCTATACATGCATACCTCATCTTTCTGTGCTTCATGTATAGTGTGCTTTTTCCACATTAAAGATTGAGCAAGTCTACCTGGGCCATTTTTCCACCAAAATGTGCTCGCTTTGTGTGTCTGTCACACTTTGGTGATTCTGACAATATGCCACAAATTTCTTGTAATGCTATTGCATAATTAATAGCCTATGGTATATTGTAAACATCATAACTTTGTTATGGACTGGGAAACTAAAAAGTTGATGGGACCCACTTTAGTGCAGTACTTTCTTTATTGTAGTCTGGAACCAAACCAGTAGTATCTCTGGAGTGTGCCTTAAATCAGGTGCAAAGGCTCACTTTCCAAGGTTTTCAATTGTAATTAAGTGGATATTACACCATTTTCCCCTGTTATCCCAAATGAGAGTTTAAACACTGGAGCCGTCCTTCTAAGACCCTTTAAAGATGTTAACTAGCACAGACTGCCCAGTAAATCCTAGACTAGTGCTAACTAAAACTGACTTCAAGAAAGTTTTTACCCAATCTGTGCCTGAGATTTAAAGTATACCTATCTTGGGTAGTTAGCTTTGTTGCACCTATATCCATGGGTATGTGGAGCATACAGGGGGCAAAGTTAGGAAAACGTCTTGGACATAACTAGTCTCGTTGGGGAAATGAGTCACTTTGCCTGAGGGCTCAGGACCACAGTCTAGAGCACGGGTTCTCAACCTTTCTAATGCCACGACCCTTTAATACAGTTCCTCATGTTGTGGTAAAACAACACACACACCCCCACCCCACCCCAGCCGCCAAAAAATTATTTTTGTTACTACTTCATAACTGTATTTTTGCTACTGTTAAGAATCGAGCAAAAATAAATAAGTAAAAAATAAAAAAGAATCGAGCAGCCCCTGTGAAAGGGTCGCTCGAGACACCACCACCACCATCACCCCCCAAAGGCTTCACACACAACCCACAGGTTGAAACCGCTGGTCTGGAGCAACACTAAGATCCATTGGCACCACAAAGTGTACATGCTACTTTGATGGGTAGCAAATAGCTTTAAAAACCTTTGGTGCAACTGTTGGTGTCTACTGACCAGCTGAAAGAAGGGTGCTGAACAGCAAATGACACAGGGAAGCAATTGGTCCAGTAGACTAATGGACCGAGCAAGCATCAGTCTCTGTGACTCTGAGACCACAAGAGAGGAAATATACCTGGGAGCCACTCCTCTTGACAGAGGTCGCATTTAAAGGTCCTGGGTAGAGTGGAAAAAAGATGTGGAGCAAAACTCAAAATTGTGAAGGAGACCAAGCCTGCTGATTGAACAGAGACTGGCGGAACCCCCGAGATCGTGGCCCTGAATCACTTTCCAAATCTGGAACTGAACTCACCCCTGTGGCTCAGTTTTCAGACAAACAGTGGGTCTGTTGTGGGGAATAACAACAGTGTGGAAGTATGCACACCATAGAACAACTGGCCAGCTGGGATGAGACCCCAGGAACAAATTAATTAGGGAAAGCAGTCCAGACAGGAAACACAGCAAGGAAATGGGATGCATGATCTTACATTGAAGGCATGAATAAGTTGAAGCAATGAATCACTGAATTAAAACTTGATAATTTCCTCTGTAAGCTTTTTGTCCAATTTACAGCGAAAGTTTTGTAAAACAAAGCAGTACCTGTCTTAAAAGTTTATTGGGAAGATTACCCAAAATCATATAAACTCTCGATATAAATTATTAGTATTGCAAAATCATTAACAGGCCCACTAATGTAATTCCTTTTAAATCCCCATTTCAACTATTCAGAGTTAATAAATTATGCTGCAGAAAAAGCTGGAAAACTGATTATTCCCCAAAGGTGGAGTTTGCGCTGTAATTGTGCAAGTGCCTTTGGTCGTCAGAGTCCTCTGTCACTTTGTTGTACAGGCTCTAGCTGTGGCTCTCTTCCTCTTCTCGCCACCTCGTCCCTCTTGCCATGTTGAGATGAAAATATCTTCTCTAGCCATCTGATTTGTTTCCAAAGCCCTCAACTTATAGGTCGCTTATCCAAAACAAGGGCTCATGTGCATTATGCATGTATTCATTCAGCAGAACAATGCCGAGTAAAGGTTTTATCTCTAGACTTTTTAATGATTTTGTGTTGTTGCTGTTCTTTAGGTTGAATCTCCAGTGATTTGCAAAATCTTGGATACAGCAGACGAACACGGACTTCTTTCTCTCCCCAACTGATCAGGTTGGGGGCAAGATAACATCATTGAAAGTCATGATGATTTCTTGTTCTGGTGACCATGTGTCTCGTTACAGAGTTCTCAGCCATCTGGACCTCACTTAAAGGATTGTATCAAAGGACTCTCAACCACTTTGTGAGCATCTGTGTGTATATAAGAGCTTATTGATAAATTTCTAAGGCAGAAACTTGTGTCTTGTTTTTCATTTTTCTGTGTCTTATGAAATGACCGTGGGTGTGTGTTTTCTTTGCTTGGATAATGTGATTCCAGAATAAATCTCATTCAAGCAATTACAGAGTGTGGCTTATTATAATGTGATCACCATCGATCTAACTATTGAAAGTTTTTCGATAACAGACAAGTTATATAACTAGCCGGTGAAGTAAAGATGATGAAGAAAGCTACAATAGTGAGAGGGGGGTTAAATGAAATCTTGTAAAATATGAAATTCCAGGGCCTGAAATCCTTCCAACAAAGTTTTCTTGAGCTCCTGCCTTTCTCGGCACTAAAGGAGACCCCAAGCACAGAAAGGCGTGCAAGTTGCCTTCCCTCAGCGCTGCTGCCCTCTCAAGGCGCTCTGTTCACAGTCCTCTGCTTTTCTCGCAGATCTTGCTTTCTTTTCCTCCCAAGTTCTGACCAAGGTCATTTTAGCTTCAGTCTGATATAAACTATTTCAGGGTTAGTGGTAGACTCTGGTTTAGAAAAAATGTGCTTTGAATATCCAAAACTAGGTTTGAGTCCTCTTGAACTTACTGGCTGGACAAGTTAATTAACCTTGCTGAGCTTCACGTTCTCTTTGGTAAAATAGAATACGTCCTAAGGTGGCGATATCACTATCAATTGTTGCATATGAAAAGTCACTGCCCAGTATTTCACCTAATTCCCAGTAAGTTCATTTCTTGGTATTGCCCTATCACATATTAACATAATGAAATTTGGTTTTGCAAGCAGAAATAATGAAATCAAAGACTGAAGCCATTAAAACTCATATTTGAGAGCATCCTTGGTGACCAATAAGTTAACAGGGAAGTTACAAATGAGAGGATGGTGCTAGAAGACAGAATATTGGAGCAAACCTGTTTCTTGTAAGAGGAAAATACAAGGGAGTACACCCCTCCTCCCAAAAACATACTGGAAAAAGCTCTGCTAGGCAGGTCTTTCCTGGTATGCATTCTTCCCACTAGGTTAGCATCCAGCAGCTCGCTGAGTTGGTGCGCTGTGCCGCTGCCTGGGGAGGTTCTCTGGTCACAGTGAAGTTTTCATAAAAGCAGTTTTCGCTTGAACCTCAGCTTTTTGTGATGGCTGATTTAAGAGAACACTGTGGCTGTGAAATTTTGTTTCCTGCTCTGGAAAAATGCCACAGAAACTGTTGTGTTGTTGAACACGGCTTACAAGGACAGCGCTGTGGGAAAAACAAGTGTACAAGTGGCTTGCTCATTTCAAAATGAAATGTTGATTGATGACAAACCTCACTTCCCTAACAGACAAAAATGTTGATAAAATTAGTGCGCTTGTGCTCGAAGACCAATGACAGGACCATTGAAGAGAAGGAGAAGTTAACTGGACTATCTTGGAACTTGGTTCAGTGAATTTTCACGGGTGATTTGGGAATGAGATGGGTGGCTGTGAAATTTGTGCCTCAGGTTCTGACTGACCAGCAAAAAAAGAGTCAACTGGAAACATGCTGAGCTTTTAAAAAAAACAGCTCAGAAGCGACCCAGACTTCACAAGGTCATTACTCATGATGAGACATGGTGCTATTCTTATGACCCCAAAAGCAAACATCAATCAAGCCAGTGGAAGATGCCATCATCACCTCACCCAAAAA